AAATAAATCTTTAAAAAAATAAATAAAAAACTTAAAAAAAAGCTTTTAAGAATTAAGAAGTTGCATCTAACTTTAGTTCATATTTCCCAAACTTATTTGACTAGATTGTTTTTCTAGCAACTATTACATGATAAACTATTAGGGATTATTTAGTAAGTCTCCAAATCAGGAATATTTTGTGAAAGACAAGGTAGGCTTGAGCTTGAAGGGAAGGGAAAGTCACCCTGTCAATATTTGAGAATGGATGCAGCTAGGAAATTTAACTCATTATAGTTGATCTTAAATGTCCTTTCTGTATTCTCTTGAGATAAGGTGAGACTTATTTGTGAAAGCAGGTAATAGTTTCAGAGTGCCTGAGAGCATGGGTGAGTCTACCACAATGCCATGTTAGCTGTACTGTCACGCCCACGCCCTACATTCCTATTTTTTCTTCACTAGTGGACTATGAGCCGGGGGCCAAGCCTGGGAAGAATATCAAGGGGGTTAAGAATGTTTTCATATTTTTGTCCTTTGGGGGAGAGAGCAGGCGACATTTTCTCAATTTCCACATCACTGCTCTTCAGAAAAGAGGCTCTCTGCTTGAAAGGAGCTTGATCTACACCTTTCACTTCCCTGGCACACTGAAATCCAGTGAAAGGGGAGAGAATGTGGTCTATAATAAACTTCTGTGGCCTGGAATATTTATGATCGTACTTTAGTTTTTATTTCCAATGACTCTGTTTTCATTGCAAGGAAATTCAGAGGAAACTCTGCATCTGCCACCTCACTCTTAGAAATTAGTAAGAGAGGAGGAATTTTTGGTGGCCAGAGGGCAGATGATGGGCTCCAAGAAAGTCTCCAGTGATTCTCTCTTTTTGGTAGATATATCCTTGTATAATTCCAATCTATGCTGAATAGGTTATGCTGATCTGTGCAGAAGTGATGGGGTATGACTTTCCAAGCTACATTTTTTTTTTTAAAGATTATTTATATATACAGAAATGCTGTACAGGCCAGAGGTGCATGGGTGTGGCAGGGTTCACCAGAGACAGAATGAGAAGTGGAGCAGACTAGGCAGATTGACAAAATACACTGTTGAGGGGAGCAGCAGGCAAGACAGGAGAGGACTGCTGTGTCATGTGGGCCACCTTTAGGGCCAGGGATCGAACTCAAGTGGCTGTGGCTAAGTCTGCAGTGCTGCGTCCTAACATCTTGAGCCATCAGGGAGGGCCTCAGGCTAGCTCTTAAAATACATCGCATCTCTGTCTTGTTTTCTCTTGGATCACTGCTTCAGGGGGAAGCCAGCTTCTTGCTATCTAAGGGCACTTAAGGATCCCTATGGAGGCCCATGTTGCTGAAATTGAGGACTCCTGTGAACTTAGCAGTCATGTGAACAACATGTCTTGGAAACCATTATGTGATCAAAGCACTACAACTTCATGGAAGACCCTGAACCAGAACCACTCAGCTGAGTCACTCCCAAATTTTTCACCCACAGAAACTGAGATAATACATAATTATTACTTTCTAAAGCCAATATGATTTGGGATTATTCTTTTACCTAGCAATGGGCAACTAATATGGTAGGTGTGTACTTTGTATGTTTTATCACTGGACTAGTTCTCTATTTTCAAGTCACTATATTAGAATTTGTTTAGTTCCTCCAAACACTATGCTTACCATGACTGCTTTGCTTCTTATTCTGATGTATGCACTAGAAAACTGGCTTCTCCCCAAGAGAAAATAACTGAGAGAAGTGATAAATTCAATAATGCTCTCTCTGTAAAATAAATTATTTTATTTTACAATAACTACACAGAAAAAAACCTTAATTACTATTTTCACTTTTTAAAGAAACCTAAGCTTAACCATGGGTTTACTTGGCTCCAAGGCAAATCTTCCATTTTTTAAAAAAAAATAAATGTTTTGTGCTCGCTTCGGCAGCACATATACTAAAATTGGAACGATACAGAGAAGATTAGCATGGCCCCTGCACATGGATGACAAATTCGTGAAGCGTTCCATATTTTTGGCACACGGGTGATTTGGTGATGGGAAACCCGTGGGGATTACAATTGAGATGGAAAAAAAAATGTTTTAAGTATGACACATCAGAAAAGTGCAGAAATCAAGTGAACACTTTGATGAAAAATTATAAAGTGAACACTTGTAACCATCCACGTAACCTCCATCCAGATCAAAGAACCCTTACATTATCTGCTTTCTAGAATGCCTGTCTGACCCCTCTCATTTCAACTCTTTTCCTTTCCCCAAAGTAGTTGCCAATTTCATTGATTAAGGTTGAGCTTCATATAAATGGAATAATACAGCATATATTCTTTTGTATCTTGTTTCTTTTGTTCAGTTTATTTACATTTTTGATTTAGGATTATAACATCTTGCCAAATTACTATTAACAAGTTTCACCTGTTATTTTGGATAGACTTTAATGATACTCAGAATGTCCTCAAGTCCACAAGAATGCAGAATGCAGGCATATTTAAGAGTAGAAAAAACCTTCCAGTAAGTTACTGGAATTTCACTGAATCTGCACCTTTTGATCATCAGTACTTGAACTTCTCAAGAATGCAGGCTTTATCATTTTAAGAGGTGTGTATCTCTGTAAATTGCCTAATTATTCAAATGTTGCTGTGAGAAGTAAGTGAAATGTAAAGGCAAGAAAAAGGTTAGGTGGTTTTGATATTGGGGGTCATCTTGGCAACCTCATATGATGGTTCTTGACTCTTCAGGATGACTCATGACAGTTCAGACTTGGATGGAATCTCCTTCAGATCAAGGAGAACCTTATTTGGGGGTAATAGACCCATTCTGAGAATGGGTCAGAAATGTTTGCGATGCTGGCTGGCACTGGGATTTGGAAGAATAGCTATAGTTGTATTTGGTTTTATAGGATCCATCTGGGCTCTTGCAGCCTCCATTGGCTTCCTGCAGGAGCTGGGATTTCCAGGGTTAGAAAAGGTTTCTAGGGTTATTCCTACAGTGAAGGGAGTTAGTATGGAGTAAGCATGGGAATTTTATTCAACATGTAGAGAAGTTTATCTTTTCTTAGTCAGCCTGTTGCTAGCAATCATTACAGGAATGGTGAAGAAAATAGGACTATCACACAAGGGATATTACAGTCTCCCAGGGGAGTCACTTATGAAATAATTAGCAAGCAAGATAAGCCCATAGTTCTGTTAAACTTGACTGAGTGATTTGATGGTACAGAGCTTGGCCTGATCATTCTGGGGTTGGGTAACCTCTGCTAGGAAGGGCCTTTGAGAGGTCAAGCTCAGGTGCACAAATCAAATAAGGGCTGGAGGTGACCATTTTCTTTCTCCCAAAGAGGGAGTAAGATGATCAATATACCCAGGTGCACCATATAAAAAGGGGGGTCCATCCAGGCTCTCCTTCAAAAAAGCCAACCCTACTTAGCTCCCACACTGTCACCACATGAGGATGGCGAAGGATTTATATGCCACCTCTTTCTTCCAGTTGCCATAGAGACCAACCCCAGTCCTTTCATCCTTCTGGTACAAGGAACATTTCTCCAACGCAGGCGGAATGGAGGGGGTTTAGCCCAAACGTGCCAGTGGCTGTGCTGGGGGAAGGGGTGGTGGTAAAAAATAGCACCGAGGTGTTGGCGGCCTCGACGGCAGTGGCAGACCATGATGAGGGACAAAGGCTAAGGCCAACGGCTGTTCAAGTCTACCAACGGGGCAGCGACCAGCCGCAGTGGGGACACAGCTGGGCTGGAGGAGGGCTCGAGGCGACAGTGGACCGGGCGGAACGGCAGGGCGGAAGTCGCGGGCGCGCGGTGGAGTCCTGGGAGAGTTCTAAGGTCCAGGGGCCCCGGCCAGTCTACCCTTGGGGGCGGGTGTCCAGGGACAAGGGGGTGCACGCCCCTCCACGGCCGCGTCCATTGGGCAGCGCCGCCATCACTCTCCCCCTCAGCAACACCGCCTTCTTCACCACCGTCTCGCTCGATCCCCTCCCCCGCCGCTCTCCGCCCCGCCCGCCACTGAAGGCTCTCATTGGATGGAGGCGCGGTCGATCCGCCTAAGGCCAGGAAGCCCATTGGATACGAGGCCTTCGGGCCGCCCTCAGCCTGCTGGGATTGGCTCTCTGTGCGTTGGCGCAACGGAAGAGGCGGCCGGGCGAGGGTGCGCCTTTGCTCCGGCTGGACTGCCGCGGAGGAGGCGACGAGGGGTCCTGCGCTGGGGGCCTGGCTCGGACGGCAGCGGTGGCTGCTGCGGATGGGATCGGGCCGGTTCGGCGAGCCCATGGAGCGCCACGGCAGGGCCGCGGCCGCCGCTACCTCCTCGTCGGCCCAGGAGCC